ATGTAGACCTACGAGTCAAGTCGTTCATGCCCATAAATTCCGCATGAACTCCAGAAGTTGAGTATCTATGAGAGGAGTAATATCTTCATATTCTAAGTCTTAAGTATTGAGTTTCTAACCCATTTTAGATTACATTCCTAATCATGGGACTATTACATGTTACCCATGAAGTCCTTGAGTTGGGTTATTCATGTCCATAATTCCGCATGAACCTTATAAGTCGAACAGTCTTGAGACGAGAAGTATCTTTGAGTCCTTGAGTTGAGTAGTTCATGCTCCTAAATTCCGCATGAACCCTCTGAGTTGAGCATTCTTGAAGTGAGTAGTATTATCGAAGTCCTTGAGTTCCAAGTATTCAGTTCTATCTATGGTTATCGAAAACCTTGCATTGAGTCGTTCACGTCCATAATTCGGCATGAACCATATTTTAAAAAGTCTTTTACAAACGTTTTAACTTTGTTTTAAGACTTAAGTTTTGAGTTTAGAAAGAGTAAAGTTGAAGTCCTGTTCTTCAATGAAGTATATGGAGACTAAGTATTCCCAAAGAGATTTAAAATGTTTCACATTTAAATAAGAACGGAAACTAAGATTTCCAAAAAAGCCTTCGGGCAAGTTTTCAGAAAAGAGAAATCGCTTTCTAAATAAAGCAAGAGAGGAAACTGAGATTTCCAAGATAGCCTTTGGGCTAAGTTTTGAGCACTAATCTCAAATCACAGAAGAAGTATGTTTTTTAAAAAAACATAAGAGCTAGTAAAGTTTGGGAGTAGTATTAAGCACCGATATGGGGGAGAGTTCAAAACAACTCACAGCCCCCATAAAATCATGTAGCCATCATGGGTAGAAAAGGGTCATACTTTTTAGATGAACCTTTTTCACATTAGACTAGTGGATCCAATTAGTAGTTTCAGTTCCTATACTTTTGGCCGGTATAGGATGCGCTGGCAGCGTGAGGTAGATCGTTGTATCATCATTATAGCTCTTATGTGATGGTTGTCGGTTAGAGAAACTTCCACAGAAGTTATTGTATTCTTATATACACAGTAATTTGTATTTTTACATACATTTCAAAGTTATGTTGTATCCTTGCATACACACCGAGTTGAAATCATGTTTTTAAACAGTTTGTTTCTTTATATTGCACTTGTTTTAAATTACTTTATATTGAAATGAGTTCAGTCATATTGAGTTGAGTATCCAGAGTCGAGTATCTCTGAGCTGAGTATCTTATCCTTGAGTACTTCTGAGATGAGTAAGTTGAGTAAGTTGAGAAAGTTGAGTAGTTTTGAGTATTCCTTGAGTTGAGTAAGTTTGAGAAGAGGTAATGATGTTTCCTTTTATCAAGTTTCAAGCTTATGTTATGCTTTAGAGTTCCCCTTACATGCTCGTACATTCCACGTACTGAGCCATTTGGCCTGCTTCTTCTCATGATGCAGACACAGGTATTCAGGATCATCAACAAGAGCTTCGTTGATACATCCAAGAGTTCGAGTTAGCTATGGTGAGCCTCTTTGCTTTCGGAGGATTTCATTTACCTTTCAGTTATATCAGTTGTTTGGATGTCGTGGGCCTTGTCCCGACTTCCATCTTTATCAGTTAGAGGCTTCATAGATAGTTAGTATAGTTGAGAAGTCTGTATTATTCATTTTATTAAATGTTTTAAAGACTTAAGTTGCCTATTTTATGGCGAGTTGAATATTATTTTTATATTCAGAGTTTTTCATTTGCGTTAAAGTTGTATTTCAGTTTTCATGAATTTTTATTCACTTTTTAAGCTTTACTATGCTTGAGTTAGTTTTCCGCTTGTAGTCAGCCAGGGTGAGGGTTCGCTTGGGGACCAACAATGGTTTTCGAGTGCCGGCCACATCCAGGGTGTAGGCTCGGGTCGTGACATTAACAACTTAGATACATTAACAAAAAACAGCTACAAGACATTGAAAGCTTAGATACATTAACATAAAAGATCAAAATACATAAAAAATATTACATCAGATGCATGAAAGAAACAAACTAGATACATAGGATATTTAAAATCAAACACAATTCATAGTCTCGATGGTGAAAGCGGAGGAAATTTGCTGAACAGAGATGACTGCAACGACGGCTGTTATAGTCAGGAAAATAGTAGTGTCGATGCTGAGTCTAGATATAACAGTGATAATGATTTCGATTGCTCCGATCTCGCTCTTCTTGTTGGCTTTTGATTTGGTTTTTTTTTTATATAGAATTTGCAAGTTTTGGCTGTGAAATTGTTTAGTTTGAATGCAGTTCATGTTTGAATAGGAGTAACCCTCATTTCTGTGTTGAGATGATGAATGAAAATCTTTTTTGATAGATATTTCAAAGAAATTATGTGTTGAAAGGATGAAGAAAGAGAGAAAAATGGTGGATAATGTGGGGGTGGGGGAGAGATATTGTTGGGGGAGGAGATTGAGAGAAATTGAATTGTTAAAGTACCCTTAATTAAGGAATTTAAGTTTTAAGATAATTATCTAATACCATATTTAAAGGATTTGTGTATCTGATTTAACTTTTAAAATATATGATATAATTATTAAAAAGTGGTATTATGAGTAATATTTTAAACTAGAGGTAAAATATGTATATATTGTAGTTAAGTATGTCTAATTATATAGTTTTACCTTATTTTTACCTTTATCGACACTTTGCTTCTTTATTATTTTTCATCTAAAAAAAAGAAAAGAACAAGCTCACGGCCCAACAAGCACACTGCCCAATCATGTCAAACCAAAATTCTCTTTTATTTTGCAATCAAACAAGCCCACGGCCCAATACTCATCCTCATTTTCTTTTTAATTGTTATATACTGGTCTTTTCTAAATTTTATACTATAACAAAAAAATAGATTTTGAATTACGAATAACAAAAAAAAATTAAATTTTATACTATAACAAAATAGTAAGTTTGAATTAAGTTTTTCTTGTTGGAAAAGCTTGAATTTTTTTGTCAAATCACCATAACTATATAATTTCCCCCTCTTTTTTTTTTTTTTAACAATATTTTGTTTAATTTTAGAAGTGTTCCAATAAAGTTTTATTTGTATTGATTTGATTTATATCCCAATGGGTTAATGCTCATTTACCCCTTGTTTCTCTTTTTGACTTTTTTTTTAAAATTATTAATCTAGAAATGTTATAATTGGTCATTTATGAATATATTTGTCTAGTTGTGAAAAGAGAATAAAAAGGGGAAAATATTAACTTATTTAAGAATATTTTGACCAGTTCTCCTTCAATGAAACTAGTAAATATGATATGTATTATTTTTTCCTAAATTTTTTGATTAATTTTCCAAAATTGATTTGTAACATAAAAATTTTAATTAAAATTTCCCAAAAAGTAACATGTGCAGATCCTGATTTTGCGTATAAATCTTCTCCCAATTGTATAAACAACCTTTGCTTCATTCCTCTTCCAATTACCGTCGTATCTCCACCGTTCAACCACCACCAAACTGCCGTAAGCTCCATCACCGGTGGAGCCAAATTAACTGCAAAATTCTTTTCGATCACTCAGGAAATTCTTCATCAAACAACTTGAGGCTTCCTATCAAAGGTGTGTTTAGATCGGTTTGATTTTGGAATAATATCTCATTTCTTTTGGGGGATTTTTTCTTGTGTGGTACTACAATGGCTACGCGTAGGGCTTTTCTGAAGAATCATTAAGAGAGATTCTATTGAGTTTGCCTGTAAATCGTTGTTAAGATTCAAATGTGTATGCAAAATTGGGGCAATCTTATCAATAACCCTAGCTTCACTATAGACCACTTGAATTTAAGTAAGAAGAAGAAGCCTCCACAACACTTGATTTATGATTATGGTGCAACCGGTGATGCCCCTACCGTCACTTTGGTTTCCGATAAGGGTATAGATGAACAAAATTTTCAAAGGCTTGGAGATAATATTAACAACTTGTTAGGTTCTATTGATGGCGTGTTTTTCATAGAAAGACAAATTGGTAATGACATTTTGTGTGCATTATGGAATCCAGCTAACAGAGAGGTGAGACGCCTCCCTGCCGCCGCAATTAGCTTTGAATCTTTTGCTTTTGATCGCCATTTAGTGTTCGGATTAGATCCTATGACTAAGGATTATAAAGTGGTTTACTATACGCATAGGGAAGAATATGCAGCGATCTACTCATGTTCTAGGGATTCATGGAAAATATTCAAACATAACCTAGACGTACATCAAAATGGTAGTACGTGTCAACGAAACATTTATAACAATGTTGATTATCTGAATGGATATTATTATTGGTTGATAAATGAGAATAATAAATGTAGAATTCTTTCATTTGACTTTGGGAATGAGGTGTTTGTAGAGATGGAAGGGCCACCACGTGGTCACGAGGATTATAATTGGTTGGCAAATCTGATGTTGCTTGGTGACTCCGTTGGCATCTTGAACTATGTCGACGGGTTTGTTAGAGATGTATGGGTAATGATACAACCAGGCGTTTGGAACAAACTTCTGACCATTCATCTCACTACGCCTACTAAGTCATTTTATGATAACTCTCTTATTTTGGAAACTAAAAGTTCCCGGCTGGTCTCATATAATGTTAGGACAAACAAGACAAGACTTTTTGAATTTCGTCATCCGGGCCTGAAGTCAAATCCAATGGGTGGTGGTTGTGGAGTTTACTATTATAAAGAGAGCTTAGTAACAATTAAACGACAAGGGAATAGTGAGCTCCATCTCAGTCGTTGTTTGACAAAATTATCGACCAGATATTAAATTTCAATAAGAGCTTTAAGCATATTGGATAACATTTACTACATGTTATTTATTTATGGTTCATTCTAGCTTTAATTATGTGCAATATGAGATTACCGTGTGTAATAGTAGTGTTTTTATACTCTTAAGTTGTTGGTGATTGTGAGCATTTTAATTTTTATTAAATGGCTCATCCTAAGTGTATTTTAATTAATGTTGCATCTGTTATTGACATTGTTAGACATAAAATTACCTTTTATTTTCCTTATAACTCTTGCATTGTTAATGGGATTCCATTGTTTTGGCTTGTTGGACTGTGAATGTGTGTTGTTGCGCGTATGCCCATATAAGACTGAGAATGCGTGTTGTTGCGCGTATGCCCATATAGTTTAGGAGATTTCGGGTTCCCCTCCTTTGCTGCTCTGTCCATGAATCTGAAAACATAAAACAAAGTCAAGATATTAAATGAGATGGTTGCGTAATACAATACTTGTTAACCGTCTTAGTTAATTCACTCAATAGTCAAGATATTAGTAACATGAGTATAATGTTCTTTGTAGATTTTCTAGAAAGAGAAAAATATTTTGTATCCCACTTCATACTAAGTGGAAAATTCTAGTAGTAGCCCCAAAATATAAAGAGAAAAATATTTATAAATTTTTTATTAGACCCTTATAATATGCATATATTTTGTCTACATTGTGGAGGTAGCTAGAAGTTGCTCATTAATTTACTCCTTATTTCTCTTTGTCTATATATTTTTTTTAATTAATTTAGAAAAGTTATTATTCGCTATTTATGAATATATTTGTCATGACAATGAAAAGACAAGAAAAATGAAAATTCTACCTACTTTAATATTAACTTGTTATAGTTATACCATTCATTTAGAATAACTTGTCTAATCGACACTTTGCTTCTTTATTAGTTTTCATCTAAAAAAAGAAAGAGTATAAAGATTTGGAGATTCAAATAATTAATTTATTACATTGTGGCGATTAATGTTTGTTACTAGGTTATTGTCTTTAATATAGATTACTTTGTCATTAATTAATTAATCCGATTTTAAATATTTATTTTTTAAGATTCACTTACATAAGGTATATATTTTTCCATTATTATCCGCATCTAATAGAAATGTATCTTGGATACACACAACTGATACACACGAGTTAAATTAGGTGTAATTTATTCCAGACACTTTGTATTCAAGTATCATCATCATCGAGCAGTAAGAAGGGAGAGAGAGAGAGAGAGAGAGAGAGAGAGAACGAGGGAGACAAGCAACAAGAGAGAGATTATATAATTATACGTCATATAATGTTAGGACAAACAAGACGAGGCTTCACGAATTTCGTCATCCGTGCCTAAAGTTATATCCAGAGGGTGGTGGTTGTGGGGTTTAGTATGATAAAGAGAGCGTAGTAACAATTAAACGACAAGGGAATAATGAGATCCATCTCAGTCGTTATTTTGACAAAAGTGATGTCGAGATATTAAATTTCAATAAGAACTTTAAGCATATTCAATAACATTTACATGTCATTTATTTATGGTTCATTCTTGCTTGTAACCGATTTCATTAGGTGCAATATGAGATTATTGTATGTAATTTTGTTTTTATACTCTAAGTTGTTGGTGATTGTAAGAATTTTAATATTATTAACTTTTATTAAAGTGGCTCATCCTAAGCGTCTTTTAATGAATGTTGCATTGTGCTGCATTTGTTATTGACATTGTTAGATATAAAATGGCCTTTTTTTCCTTATAACTCTTGCATTGTTAATGTGATGCAAGACAGCCGTCGAGGCAGCTAGGATTCCAAAGGAATATATTAGGTGTATGTCCATTGTTTTGGCTTGTTGGACGGAGAATGTCGATATTGAACCCATTCTTATTATCGATTTTAGTTCTTCTACGCGATGGACCAAGTTTAGCTTCCATAGATTGAGAGATTTCAGGTTGTCCTCCTCTGTTACTATTGCTAATACTCTGTCCAAGAATCTGAAAATATAAAAAAAAATGATAAACTTTTAGATGAGATAGTCGCATAATACAATAGTCATGATTAACCATCTTAGCTAATTCACTCAACAATCATGATATTAGTATAATGGTTCCTTGAAGATTTTTGTTTTTTGTCTTTTTTGTCAGGTCTACATCATAATGAAGCATGTTAAGTCTAACATTAGGAGTTAGGACCTATGAATCTTCCAAAAATATACATCAAATACGTATCTGTCAACAATTTTGAAGACATAGATTTGGACAACTTCAGAGTCATCTAAATTTGACTAGTCCTTTACATTAGCTTACTACTTACCAACTTGGATTGAGAAATTTGATAGTACACTTGCAAAAGATACAACTTGTGTTTCTGATTTTTAATGGCCTCACTTGCAACATTATTGACAAGCCAAGAAATTAATAAAAACCAAGTTAAAAGGGAAATGTGTACAAATTAACTTGTTACACCATTTAGTTAATCAAATTCTAAAAACAACAATGGTGCTACATGACTCCAATGGTAAATTGGGGACCTAAATGATGAAATGAAATAATATATAGATGAATAAATTCCTTATATATTACTAAGAGTGAGTTTAAGGGATTTATGATTGAAAGAGAGGTGGTAGCTTACTCAATAGTTTTTGCTATTTCTGAAGGAAGTATCAAAAGTATGGCAAAGACGACATATAAGGTATATGATTGATACTATTTTCTATTTTTGCTATTTTTCTCGTTTATCAAAATACTCTAGAATAGACAAACTTATCATTCAATTATTTTATTTTCCTTATAGCTCTTGCATTGTTAATGTGATGCAAGACAGTAGTCGAGGCAGTTGGAATTTCGAAGGAATTTTATTAGGTGTCTGTCCATTGTTTTGGCTTGTTGGACTGAGAATGTGTGTTGTTGCGCGTATGCTGTGATCATGGATGCCCATATTTGACCCATTTTTATTATCGATTTTAGTTCTTCTACACGATGGACCGTGTGTAGCCTCCATAGTTTGGGAGATTTCAGATTGTCCTCCTTTGTTACTCTTGCTGCTCTGTCTAAGAATCTGAATACATAAAACAAAAAATCATTAATTTTTTAGATGAGATTGTCCCATAATACAATAGTTATTAACCATCTTAGCTAATTCACTCAACGGTCACGATATTAGTTACATGAGTCTATGTCACGACCCAGATCATCGTGATTGACACTCACACTAACCCTCCGGTGGGAGAATTACTACTACAACCTAAACCAAGCAATTAAATAAAAAACTAAAGCATTTAAGTTACGGAAGCAAGTTAAATAGCTAAAAACTGAAGTTTCCATAAACTTTCAATAGATCTAACAACTAAACAATGCGGAAACTACGCCTAGAACCTGAAAGTCAATGTACCAAAACATCTAACAATGAACCATAAGTCTAAACAATAAGAATTACAACCCCAAACTAATGAACTAATTAACTAACTAGAAAAGTCTAAGTCCGAAATGGTGGACAATGACGAAAGAGAACTCATGGCATCCCGGAAGAACTGGCTCACCCTTGAATTCGAACGATCACTGATCTTCTAAGTGAGGTCTGTCAATAGCCGCCGGAAGATGCCTTGTACTCAACAAAAATAAGAACAAATGCAATATTAGTACACAACCACCGTGTACTGGTAGGATCACGTGGCTATCCAACTAAGTGCAACATACATAAGTTATCACAACAATAGAATCACATGCATATAACGAACATATACAATGTTACCAACACTTACGAACAAGGTGTAGTTTAACATTTCTCAAGATACACAATTATATATCAAATCATTGGTCCTCTCATGGAACCCAAACCCAAGCAGTTAGCATACCGAAACGTGGTATCCGATCCAATGTTTATGCCGAAACGTGGCAACCGATCCCATAAATATGTCGGAACGTGGCAACCAATCCAAGTTAGTTATACCGGAATGTGGCAACCGACTCATTCAACATACCACAATCACAAACACAAGCACATTCTCATAATCATACAATCGAGTCATGATTCAATGGCATTCGACAATCATATATCCTCATTTACAACAAGTGTGATCAATAATGCAACATCCACATACATACATGTATCATAATGAAGCAAGACAAACATACATCACACAATCATAGAATCACAACCATCACCTACCTCGAAACAAGCTTGAAACCCACCCTAAGAAACTTGATCCTTCCCTTTCCGGATTCGTTTCGCTTGTTCTTGGTCTACAAACAATCATAATAACACGGGAATCAATAAACAATGACTAATAACCCGCATTACTAACAATTCTATGAATCCTAAATCAAACCCATGATCCCAATTCTCCCAATTAGGGTTGTTTCCATCATAAATTCCATATCAACCCCCCCCCCCATCGATAATTGCCCATTAGATTACGTTCTACGGATCGAAAAACAGATTTGAGGAGTAAAAATCTTACCTTTAGCCTTAAAAATTGTGGAAAACTATCAAGAATCGCCTGGGGTTCATCTCGTTACGCTCAAAGTTGAAAAGTGCAGAATAAAGACGTTTTGGGGTTTATTTACGACTTAAGTTGCGTCTGGCCTGCCACAGTGGCCCTCACCCCGCTACAACAGCCTCGTCAGAGTGACCAAAATCACCGCCAAAGCGGTTTGCACGAAACAGTGAGCTATTTTAATAATTCCAAGACCCTCATTTCACAACACACCTTATTAACCAATGACGCTCAGAAAATACTGTTCATGCTAAGATCGATTCCGGGAGTTCTACTCACCCGAATTCAATTCTGTAAAGTTGTACGGATTCCTTAATGACTTATCTAACTACTCATGTAATCGAAATCATAAATAAGTCACCCGATTGCTACCAGATTTCCCTACACCTTAATGACTCCGATTTCGTCTAAATCTGGATTAGGTTGGAAAATTCTAAGTTACTACGAAAAAGTTTTCTGACCCAAAAATTTTCTCCATTGGCTTTTCTATAACGTCGGAACCCCGGTCGTTACAGTATAATGGTTCTTTGAAGATTTACGTTGCCTTTCTTGATCAGGTCTACATCATAATAAAAACTAAATTTAAAAAAAAAAAACTGGGGTGGTACGACAACTTTTGGCAGTATCTATAAACTTGTATTTCTGGTTTTTAATGGCTTCGCTTGCCATATTATTGACAAGCCAGGAAATTAATAAAAACTAAATTAAAAGGGAAATGTGTAAAAATTCAACTAAATTAAATTGTTACACCATTCTCGTAGAATAAGTTGCCTGATACTCTTTGACAGGTTTTTATTTTTATATTTATCGGCAGTTTGCTTCAAAATTAGTGGAGTGCTCTATGAAATTATTCCGATTCGAATCTCCTAATTAGTTGCAAATCAATTTCGTGGGACACTCAAATGATAACTTTTAGGATTGAATCTTTAATAACTCAAATGGTTTGAATTTCTTCTTACCTAATCGATGTAAATACTTTACTGAGTTTACTGTTTTACAAATAATTAAAGTTATTTCTCAAATTCATGTATTTAGTGTTTTTGCATAATTCATTTTCTTTAGCAATAAAAGCACAATCAAACATTAGATTTGTTTGATCGTGCTTTTACTGCTAAAGAGAAGAAAAAAAAAAGAAAACTCTAGCTATTTTTAATATTAACTTGTTATAGTTATACCATTCATTTAGAATAAATTATCTAATCCAATTCGATTTGACAATTCATTAATTTTACCTTTATCGACGCTTTGCTTCTTTATTATTTTTTATCTAAAAAGAGAAAAGAAGAAGGATAAAATTTGGAGATCAACTAATTAATTCATTATATTGTGGCCGTTAATGTTTGTTACTCGGTTACTGTCTTTAATATAGATTGCTTTTCCATTGATTAATTAATCCAGTTTTAATTATTTATTTTTTAAGGTTCACTAACAGAAGGTATATATTTTTGCATTATTATTTCGGATCTATTGAAAATGTGTCTCGAATACACACAACAGATATACACGAGTTAAATTAGGTGTAGTTTATCAAGAAACTTTGTATTCAAGCGTGTTTCATATGTATATGATTGATATCAAAATATAGACCGATAAATTCATGTATTTGGTCTCAATATATGCATTGATACATTTATCAATTGCTTGTAAGTATCATCATGATCGAGCAGTAAGAAGGGAGAACGGTGGAGACAAAGAACGATAAAAAGAGATTATATAATTATTTTAAAGTATAATGGACTTTAGTAGAAATATTTTTCTAATTAGGTGAACTATTACAAAATATTTTGTCTACATCGTGGAGGTAGCTAGAAGTTGCTCATCAATTTACTCCTCATTTCTCTTTGTCTATATATTTTTTCAATTAATTCAGAAAAGTTATAGTTGGCTATTTATGAATATATTTGTCATTACAATGAAAAAAGAAGAAAAAAGAAAATTCTAGCTACTTTTAATATTAAATTGTCATAGTAATACCATTCATTTAGAATAAATTATCTAATCCAATTCGATTTGACAATTCATTAATATTACCTTTAAAGCCACTTTGTTTCTTTATTATTTTTCATCAACTAATTGATTCATTATATTGTGGCCATTAATGTTTGTTACTTGGTTATTGTCTTTAATATATATTACTTTTCCATTAATTGTTAATTAATCCAATTTTAATTTTTTTTTTTTTTAAGGTTCACTAACAGAAGGTATATATTTTCCCCTTATTATTCCAGATCTATTGAAAATGTGTCTTGGATACACACAATAGATACACATGAGTTAAATTAGGCGTAGTTTATCCAAAAACTTTGTATCCAAGCGTGTTTCATATGTATCTTATTGATATCAAAATATAGACCAATAAATTCATGTATTTGGTCTCAATATATGCATTGATACATTTATTAATTGCTTCTAAGTATCATCATGATCGAGCAGTAAGAAGGGAGAACGGGGGAAACAAAGAACGATAAAAAGAGATTATATAATTATTTTAAAGTATAA